AGTTAATTCCATCTAAGTTGCAATAGCAGCAACATGACCATACTAAAACTTTACTGTGAAGCTAATTTCACGAGCTAACCAGGTTTACAATGAAGACCTAGAATACTCAATACTACGTATCTTAGAATCATAAAAGTGCTACTCCAAGCAAGACCATTATCCTAAATTCTCATTCAGTTAAGAACACAGTAAGGAACAAGAACTAGAAGTATTCATTATCATCATTATCAAAAATCATTATCTTCTCTTAAAGCTGGGTTTAGACAAGGCAAGTCAATTGATTTACTCAGATGAATTCAACTGACTTGAACGTCTAAACTATGCCATTTAACTGACTTGAATTGAAAAAAAAGGTGAACCAGGCTCAACTTTTCAAGCCAATTGAATTCAACTGAGTTGATCAATGACTTTCCTAGTCTAAGCCCAGCTTAAGTCTTAATCATTCTTCCGTTCACTCAAAAGTGCTCCAATGCGCTCAAGGGATTGATGTTTGTTGGACACAGCTGGATCGACCAAATGAAATTGAAATCCATCCTCAAACTACAACCCAAGTAACTATTTTTGGCAGACCGGAGAAACTTCTTAAGACGCTTCAAACGAAGGTCCGAAACACACAAGCGCCGAGAGTCGATCGCCTTGAAACTTTCATGCAGTTCGGGATAACAGTGAAGCAGCTGTGTGATCACTTGGAGGCCGCCTAAACTAACGGACCACCTCAATAATTCTATGTTAGTTCAAGAGCTGATCGAGAAGTTACCGTCGAATTACACGATGGACTGGGTCCGTTTTAAGCGGAGGAAGAGTGGCACTCCTCTGAGAATCTTCACAGATTTCATGAACGACATCGTAGCCGACGCCTCCGAGGTATCAGAGTTTTCAACGCGGTGACTCCCGCGATTCACAGCAATCTGTAAAAGGCAAACCAAAGCGGAAGGAGTTTATGCACGTGCACAACACCACTTCCGGTAAATCTGAATCTCCAACAGCATCTAAAATTGCCAAGCCGTGCTTCGTTTGTAAACGAACGGATCACACACTGCGTTTCTGTGACGACTTCAAGAAAAGCACCTTGGCAGACAGGCTGAAGGTCGTGGAGCAACACAAACTCTGCGCTCAATGTCTCAATAACCACGGGAAAAGTCGCTGCAACTTTAAGATTCGCTGCAATAACAACGGATGTCAAGGCAATCACCATCCCCTGCTGCATCGCGCCGAAGTGTACTGAATCGTAGCGGTATCTTCCGTATGGTACAAGTTACCATGTACTTCCAGGACTACGCACTAGATATTCTGGCATTCTTGGATGTAGGATCGTCGTCTAATCTGGCTGAATATGAGGTGGCTTGGGAGTTAGATGTCCGCGGTTATATGAAACCGCTGGTTGTTACGTGGACCGGAAACGTCAAGAGGTTCGAAGATTCGTCCAAAATAGTCAATTTAAGGATTTCTGCACGGGGCTCAAACGAAAGATTGCCGTTGAAGGATGTCCGCACAGTTGCTGAGTTAAAACTACCGAAACAAAGCTTGCAGTACGAAAAGATAGCTGGAAAGTACCCACATCTACACAATATTCCCGCTGTGAGCTATGGGCTCGAAGAACCAAGGATTATTCTTAGACTGGACAACTTGGACTCGAATCGCGAGTTGGCTCACCTGGGGAGCCAATCGGCGTGCAATCCAAGTTGGGGTGGACGATTTACGGCCCTCAACAGAGTGGATCCGTAGTATCAGACGTCAGAGTCAACTTCCACTCATTGAAACCGTTGAGTAACCAAGACCTTCACGACGTTATGCGTAGCCAGTTCCTGTTGGATGATCCCTCAGTAACATCAGTTGCGGTATCAGCCGAAGACGCACGAGCTCGAAGCATTATGCAAGCGACCGGATTGCTATGGCAACAAGAAGAGCGAAGGTTTCCGGATAGCTATCCAATGGCGATGTCACGACTGAAAGCTTTAGAGAGAAAGTTAGAACGTAATCCGGAACTTCGATCGAAGGTCCTTCAACAGATTACCGATTACCTGGTAAAAGGTTATGCGCACAAGGCTACTATCGAAGATTTGGCGGAGGTGGCAGATGGAAACATCTGATATCTTCCCTTGAACGTGGTTCTCAACCCTCGAAAACCAGGGAAAGTACACCTCGTATGGGACGCGAGAGCGTCCGTCAATGGCATATCGTTGAACACGGAATTACTAACAGGCCCTGATCTACTGGTTCCACTCCAATCGGTAGTAAGTATGTACCGTGGCATTCGGTGGTGACATCCAAGAGATGTACCACAAAGTTTTCTCTTCCGACGTGACCCGACCAGCCCTCCTGAAATTTACGTAATGGGCGTCGGGACATTTGGAGCAGCGTGCTCCCCATGATCCGCACAATTCATTAAAAATTTGAACGCGGTGCAGTTCGAGCACGAATTTCCAAAAGCTTCAGTGTGCAGTGATTAAGAAACACTACGTAGATGATTACTGCGATAGTGTAGATTCAGTGGAAGAAGCAATCAAGATTGCTACTGAAGTCAAACTAATCCATTCTCGTGGAGGTTTCCACATCAGAAATTGGGTGTCTAACTCCCCAAGATTATTGGAAGCGATGGGGAACACTCGGCGACGTCTGCTGTACATTTTCATTAAGATAAGGAGACACTGACAGAACGCGTCCTTGGAATTGTGTGGTCTCTACGGCAACTCGTGACGAATATCAATCTATGCTACAAGGGATTGGTAGACCCTCCAAAAGGATTGTGTTGAGCTCGGTGATGTCATTGTTCGACCCTCTTGGTTTGCTGTCACCATTTACGGTGTACGGGCGGATGTTAACACAAGATTTGTGGAGAACCGGCTGCGGGTGGGATGATCCCATCGACTATGAATCGTTTGAGAAGTCGATTCGGTGGACTATCGAAACGATTAGAGTGCCACGAAGCTACTTCGGACAAGTAAGTTATACGGACATCTTCAACTTCACATCGTTACGGACGCCAGCTAGGGTGCATACGGATGCAGGTGACGAGCCGTGTAAAAGTGGCCCCACTGAAGCCCATGTCCGTACCACGCCTTGAACTACAAGCTGCAGTATTAGGAGCGCGTTTAGCAAAAACGGTGCGAATCAATCATTCATTCCAGATTGACGCCAGTTTTTCTGGACTGATTCTCTACAACCGTATTGTCCTGGATTACTTCCGAATTGCGAAGGTACAAGGAGTTCGTCGGATTACGCATCGGGGAGATCCTTACGCTTACCAAGCTATGTGAGTGGCGCTGGGTCCCTACAAGGCTAAACGTAGCAGACCAATTAACGAAGTGGACCAGAGATCCCGAGTGGAACTCGGACAGTCAATGGTTTACAGAACCCGAGTTTCTATACCGAGATGAGGAAAATTGGCCGAAGCAGAAGACATTGTCGCCGACTACGCAGGAGGAATTGAAGGCGCATTTATTGGTACATTACGTTCAGCTACTTGCGCCAGTTGTCGAAGTTCTTCGCATCTCTAAGTGGACCGTTTTGGTTTGCACGATAGCTTCTGTCTTCAGATTTATATCCAACTGTCGTGCAAAGATGAACGGTTTGCCGATCGAAATACTAAAGGCTACGGATAAGCAAGCGAAGATCATCAAACCCAGAAACTTTCCAGTGCAACGAATGCCAACGAAGCAGGTCGAACACGAGAAGGCGGAACGAAGCTTAATCAAGATGGCGCAAGCTGAATCCTTCGGTGAAGAGGTGAAAGTATTAACAAAGAATACGAACGCAGCCGCGGAGCATTGATTGCAGATCGGAAAATCGAGCTTTCTATACAGGTTGACGCCTCTCATCGATGAAGACGGAATTCTGCGGCTGGAGAACCGAGTGGAGGTGTTTTCCCATAGTGCTGCCGAAACAACATGCAGTTACAATGAAGATCGTTCAACACTATCACGAACGATTCGGTTATGGATATCGAGAGACAGTGAAGAATAAGTTGCGGCAAATTTTCTTCATACAGGCGGTAGGAGCAGTAATTACCAGGGTTGCTAGTGACTGTCTATGGTGCAGGATCAACAAAAACCGTCCACAAATCCCTAGAATGGCGGCACTACCGGTACAAAGACTAACTCCATTTTCAAGACTCAATTATCTTGGGCCGTTTGTAGACACAGTTGGCCGTCGCAGTGAGAAGAGGTGTATGGTTTTATTCACATGATTGGTCGTCAGATCAATTCATCTCGAGGTCGCTCATTCGTCAACTACGCAGTCCTGTTTGATGGCAATTCGCCGATTCGTTGGTCGACGTGGTCCACCGAAGGAAATGTTTTCGGACAACAGGACAAATCTAAGAGGTTCAAGCAAGGAGATAGTGGACAAGATTCACAGCATAGATCAAGAATGCGCCGATGAGTTCACGTCGGCTCGAACAAAGTGGACGATCAATCCACCTGCCACATGGGGGGAGTTTGGGAAAGACTTGTGAGGTCCGTGAAGCAAGTACTGGTAGCGATGATTGATGATGGAAGGCGTTTGACTGACGAAATCCTGCTCACCTCGATCGCTGACGCTGAAGACATTATAAATTCCCGGCCACTTACGTTCGTGAGCCAAGGAACTGATAATGCGGAAACACTTAGCCATTTTATTCGGGGCAGTTCACCGAATGAACCACTATCGCTGCTACCTCCGGTACATTAGCCAACGAGATGTGGAACAGGTGGATAAAGGAATACGTGCCGTCGATTAGTCAACGAAAGAAGTGGTTCGAAGAGGCCAAAAATCTGAAGGTTGGCGATCTAGTCTACATAGTCGACGGTTACTTGGGAATTAAGTTGTTTGAAACTAGCGAAGTCAGTCATACTTATTAGTATGTTTCTGTTATAAAGAAATATTTCCCTGACTTTGAATGAAATTCCCTGACAATCCCGGATTTTTCAGGTAGTGGACACCCTGCAAAAGTATGATAACCCTAAGAAATACATCACTGTACAAAAAACTAAATCTCACTCACCTTTTTTTTTCCCCGCCAGATCGCCACCGACGACGGCACCCTGCTCGGTCCGGACGAGGAAGGCGAAATCCTGATCCGCTACATCCACCCGTTTGTCGGCTACTACGGCAACGAGGAAGCCACCCGGGCCCTGCTCACCGAGGACGGCTTCATCCGCACCGGTGACGTCGGCTACTTCGACAAGACCGGCTTTCTCTTCATCACCGACCGGAAGAAGGAAATGATTCGCTACCGGGGCTATCAGATTGCTCCGGCCCAACTGGAGGCGCTGCTCATGGAGATCCCGGGCGTGGGGCAAGCCGTGGTGGTGGCCGTTCCCGAAGAGAAGCCACCGCACGTGGATCTGCCGGCGGCGCTGGTGGTGCGAAGCACTGGCAGCAAGGTCAGCGAGCACGACATTCTGGAACATGTGCACGCCAAGGTTCCGGACTACAAAAGGCTCCGAGGAGGGGTGTTCTTCGTGGATTCACTGCCCAGGACCGCCAACGGGAAGTGCAACCGAAGGGAGGCGAAGAAACTGCTTCCGGTTTAGGATTTCACAACTGTTACAATTTCTATAGAAGTGCCTGTTGCTATTTTTGTTTTAGGATTTTTCCTATATTTTCGTTTGCTTTCTCCTGTCATGTGTTTTACAGTTAGTTTGTGTTTTTTCTCTTTGTAACAATTGATTTGTTTTCTACTATTGCCTACGAGTCTATCTTTTTTTTATCCGTTTCTTTCCACCCGCGCTGCAACACTACTATTGCATAGGTGTTTGTGTGTGTGTTTTTTTAAACGGGAAAATAACAACAGTAATTGAAGTGAGTTTCTTTTTACAATAGTCTATTCGTTCAAAGAGAGATTAGCGCGAAAAAGCTCGTGCGAAAACTGACCTCTACAACCTAAGTCTGCTACTAGGAAAAGAAAATAAGTGAAAATAAATATTCGTCTAGTTTTGTTTCAGTGTGGTAAAAAGCTAATAAATAAAATAAAGATAATTGTAAATAAGTGTTGTTATTAAATCAAAAACAATAGATTCTACCCCACCTAACCTAAGCCTAACAACGGAAACTACCCCTATCAAGGTGCCACTCATAGGGAGGGGGAGCGGGGGGGGGGACATTATTACACACCAGACGTCGTTCCTACAGCTCTACACTAAAATTAATAGGAAAAAATATTTCTCGCTCTCTCTCTTCGCCATCAATAACAGAAAAAAAACAAGTGGGTGATTTTGTTCAGTGTATGTTAGGATAATTGGAGTGGTGTTTATCGTTTCCTTCTTGGCTTTCTTGTTTTTATTTGTTTTCTTCTTTGTTATTTATTTGCTGTCATCAATGTTCATAATTTGTAAACGACCCTACTTAACCTTCATTTTTTTCCGGTGTCTCTCTTAAACTTTAGTCATTTGATTATTATTCATAATAATACCATCTTTTTTTTTATCGTTTGTCTGCACACAGACAAACGTTGCGCTATGTTTTGCTTATTAGTTTGTTTGTTTGTTTGTTTTACTTAAATTAAACCCTAATTAATAGGTTAAGTTTCTGCTCCCCTTCGATTTTTGTTTTGTTCTGTCACATCGCCCATTCACGTGTTTTTACGACATTTAAAGAAAAGAAAGTAAATCACAAATACTAATCAGTGCAATGTTTAGACCGAACATTTTGAAGATTTGAAGAATGATCAATCAAATTCTCACTGCTGTTGTGTTTGTGTGTATTAAGTTCTGCTGCTTCTAAAAACGCCTACTATTCTTACGACAACATCTGTCGCTGTCAAATCAATGTTAATCATGGAATGATCATGTGGACCTGCTTCTGGAGAGACGAAGCGTAATTTGATTGCCTTTCTCCTCCATCCGCACATTGCTCAACAAATTGTAACCGTATGCTTAAATTTGCATTGTTGGACGCTTGTTTTCCGAGAAAATTTAGTTGCTAACTTGTTCTTCCCGTCGAACGAATGAAAGGAAATTATGCGCAACGAACAGGAGTTGATTGGAAGCGGTCGATTGCTTTGTTGTTTGGTTAAGTAGTGCCCTTAAGTTGATTGTTTTCCTGTTAGGCGTTGTGCACCGGTTGTCCTCTTTTGAATGTATTTGTGCCATTGAAATGTTTGATAAAACTTGTGCGCAACTGAAAAGTGTTCTGTAACAGTTTGAAATAATTTGAAACGTAAACAAATCTCTGTCAAAATGCACGAAGCCTCAAGCAGCGTTGCCAGATTGTTTTCATGATTATCGATATCAAATGATAAAAAATCGGTATTTATCAGTATTCACTATTTTAATATATTTAAAAAAATTTCAAACTTTTGGACTAAAATCAAAGGATGTACTTTCCATGTAAGTCGGAAGCAATTTTTGGGAAATATTTGAATTAGTCTTTTGAAGGTACCGACAAAACTTCCAGAGGAAGAATAAAAAAGATGTCGTGGAGGAAGTTTGAAGGAAGTTCTAAACGATATCGGAAATTTTTTTTGAAGCTTTCGGAAAAAATCCAGAAGCCAGAAAAGTTTGTAAATCGGAAGCCAATCCCGGAGGATCCGGAAAAAACTCCCAGAGGAAGACGAAAGAACTTCCTGGAGAAGACGGAAGAAACTCCCACACTGGGAGAAACTTCCTACGGTAGATTGGAAGAAACTTCTGGAAAAAGTCGGACGCCAGAGGGAAGGAATGGGAAAATATGTGGAAGAAATAGATTTCTGGGTTCTCTGAACTTCCCGATTTTTAATTTTTTTAAAGTTCCCGAAACTGCCGATAAAAAACACAGAGCTTCCCTTAAAATGTTGTCACAATTTTCTAATGTTCATGTAACTACCCTTGCGTTTCCAAAATTTTCCTGAACCTCTCGGAACTTAACTGAAGTTTTCGGAAATCGCCTGAGTTTCTCTAAACTCATTCAAAGGTTCAGAAATTTCCTTGAATTTATATGACCTGATGTTCTCAAAGCTTTCCTAAAGTTTACTCAATTCTCCTGAAACAAATGGAACTATCCTGAAAACCAATAAATTTCTTTAAATTTCTTTGGGCTTGTGAAGTTTACAACACAAGAGACTGTGTAAAGGCAAAAGAGGATTCCAGGGCTTCCAGGACATGTCCGGAAGATTTCCAAAATAAGTCTGGAAAACCTACAGTTACACAGCAGAGTACGAGTGCAACACACCAGAGTACGGCGTAGCAACAGGCTGACCGGACGACCTACAGTCGAGTCAGCGAGAATGGCCAACGACCGATCCAGAATGCGGAGTCAGCATATGGAATCGATAAGAAGGCCAGCGGATAGGGAACGTGGCTCAGTTGTTAATCATTTTTGTTACAGTTAAGTTCATTTGTATTTTGATAGTCAGTGATTAAATGCAAAGAAATTAAAATCATCCTTTTTTAAAAAGCCTATCACGGCCCCGATCTGGAGAATTTCCAGAAAAAAATCTGAATGAATTCCATGGTGAGTCATAATATCTTCCCGAACAAATACAGAAGAATTCAAGCCACTCCTAAGACGTACAGGGCAAGCCTGACAAACTTTAAGAACAAATCCCGGATTGCTTTCAGGTAAAATCCGGATGACCTGAAGTAAAGAATAATTTTCATGAAAAATCGACCAAGACTAGTTCATAAGACCTCCAAGACCTCGGAAATTGTCAAGGACACATTCAAAGCTCTTTCAGTACAAATTGGAAGGACTTTCAGTACCAGTCCGGATGACGTCGAGGATAAGAGTAGAAGCTTTCGACTTCGATCCACACGTCTTCCAGGACAACTCCGTAGAATGGTCAAGTAAGGCTGAGTGGCCTTCCAGAGGAACTCTTGATAACTTCATGGACCTGATAAGAATTGAAGAACAAATCTTAAAGACTTCCTAGAACAATCCCGAAAAACTTTTTAAGAACAAATCCGGATGACGTTCAGGGCAAGCGCAGGCATGTTCAGAGAACATTCAGGACAAATTCAGAAAAATGCAGGGCCGAATCTACAAGTGGACAAGTTTAAATAATGTTCAGCGCAGGTTAAGAGTGATTCTAGGGTAGGCCCAGAACCCTTTCTTGGCACGTCCAGAAGACTTTAAGGACAAGAAAGCTTTAAGGACATATCTGCATAACTTTCAGGACTAGTCCAGGTGACTACTAGGGCAAGTCCGGCGAACATCCAGGACAAACACGAAGAACTATCCAGGATTAGTCCGGAAGGTTACCGAGATAAGACTGGAAGATCTGCAGGGGGGCGAAACCGGAGAACTTACAGAAACAAACTGGAAGGTCGTCAAGGACATGTTTGAAAAAATTGCTGAGCCGGCTAAATGGTTTTCATGAACAAAAATTCGTACTCCTTCTAGTACAAGTCCATAGAAATCCCAGGATAAGTCTGAAAGAGTTCCAACAAAGATCCAGGAAAAATGCAGAATTCTCGGACCAAGCTCATTGGCATTCTAGGAAAGGTCCAGACGACTGTCTTGACAAGTGCAGTAGACTCCCGACAAATTTCAATACCAGTCCGGATGACGTCGAGGGTAAGTGTAGAGATCTTCGCCTTCGGTCCACACGTCAACTTCCAGGACAACTCCGCAGAATGATCGAGTAAGGCTGAGTGGCCTTCGAGAGGATCTCTTGATATCTTCAAGTACCTGTTAAGAATTTAAGAACAAATCTAAAAGACTTCCCAGAATAATCATGAAAAACTTTTAAGAGCTAATCCAGATGACTTTCAGGGCAAGCGCAGGCATGTTCGGAGGACATTCAGGACAAATTCAGATGACTTCGAGAAAAATAATCGAATGAAAAATCCATACAAACAAAATCCAGGATCGAATCCACAAGTGTACAAGTTTAAATAATGTTCAGCGCAGGTTAGGAGTGATTCTAAGGAAGGCCAAGAACTCTTTCATGGCAAGTCCAGAAGACTTTCAGGACAAGGAAGCTTTAAGGACATATCTGGCTAACTTTCAGGACTAGTCCAGGTGACTACCAGGGCAAGTCCGGCGAACATCCAGGACACAAACGAAGAACTGTCCAGGATTAGTCCGGAAGGTTACCGAGATAAGACTGGGAGATCTGCAGGGGGGCGAAACCGGAGAACTTATTTATTTATTTCTTATTTATTTGTCTGCATCAACAGGCTGTGTAAAGCCCCAATGATGATTTAAGTAACTTATATAGGTAAAAATCAAATCAAAAAATAAAAACTAAGAATAAAATACATAAATAAAACACACAATCATTCACGGTTAACTGTGCCAGAAAAGAACGATGAGAAGTATCTTCGTAGCAGCTGTCGAGGCATATGGAAATCGAAGATGCCCGAGACTCGATTGAACACTCGTTGCAGCCCACCTATTGCACCGTTCATGTCATAGTTTGTGCGCTGAAGAGGCAATCTCAGCATAACGTTGTTACGTAGCGCACGGGGTTGGACGTTAATGTTGACTTGCCCCAAGGTTGCACTGCAATCAATTCTACCTTGTAAAGTGTCCACAATGAACAGGGCCCTAGAGGTGTCTCTTCTAGTTCGGAGAGGCTCCAGTTCAATCAGCTGCCAACGACTTTCATAGCTGGGCAGATGAAATGGGTCTCTCCAAGGCAGCTTCCGCAGAGCGAATCGAAGAAAACGGCGTTGAACGGACTCAACTCTCTCAGCACTATTGTTGTAGTTTGGACTCCAGACCACAGAACAATATTCCAGAATGGATCGCACCAAGCAACAGTACAGTGACTTCAAACAGTAGATATCGGAGAAATTTAATGTCCTAGACGCCTTGTCGACAACGTACGAGATGTGCTGCTTGTACGTAAGTTGAGAATCCAGAATAACACCCAGATCTTTCACATGGTTCACACGGTCGATTACAGTGCCGATAAGTTTGTATTCAAATGTGATTGGTTCTTTCTTCCGAGTAAAAGTGATCACTGAACACTTAGTGGGGTTATCCACCATTCGGTTTAAATTACACCAGCTGGCAAAGGCTTCGAACTGACGTTGAAGGAAGTGACAGTCATCAATCGAGTGGATTCGTAGGTAGATTTTAAGATCGTCTGCATACGATAGTCGTGGGCCTTCGATGACCAAGTTCACGTCATTGAAGTAGAGTAAGAAAATCAAAGGTCCCAGGTGACTTCCTTGAGGTATTCCTGACGTAGCTAGATATATATTGAACCGGTTGTCACCAATGGCAACCATCAGTTGCCGATCAGTGAGATATGAACGAAACCATCGCAAGAGGTTGCCGCTGACCCCAAGTCTATGCAACTTGGCAATCGCGATGGCATGGTTTAGCTTATCGAAGGCAGCTGACAAGTCGGTGTATATGACGTCTGTTTGAGTCCTCTCTGCCATGCTTTCCGTAAGATACGATGTCAAACACAGCAGATTTGTGGAAGTAGAACGACTGGAAGTGAAGCCGTGTTGATCACCACTTAGATACTGCTTACAATGAGAGAGTAGAGGCTCCATGATGACTAACTCGAATAACTTCGAAACTGCGCTCAACGACGTAATTCCACGATAATTGTCCACATCCCGTTTGCTGCCCTTTTTGTGGATAGGAAACATATGTGCGAATTTCCAACAAGATGGAAATGTACCACTCGAGATGGACAAGAACACAAGATGGACAAGAAAAGTGCAAATCCGGAGGACTTTCAGTACCAGCCCGGATGACGTCAACTTCCAGGACAACTCCACAGAATGGCCAAGTAAGGCTGAGTGGCCTTCCAGAGGATCTCTTGACAACTTCAAGGACATGTTAAGAATTGAATAACAAATCTAAAAGACTTTCAGAACAATCCAGAAAAACGTTAAGGACAAATCCGGATGACTTTCAGGGCAAGTGCTGGCATGTTTAGAGGACATTCAGGACGAATCCAGATGACTTCGAGAAAAAGAATCGAATGAAAAGTCCATACAAACAAAATCCAGGATCGAATCCACAATTGGACAAGTTTAAATCACTTTCAGGGTTGGTTAAATGTTGTTCTAGGGAAGGCCCAGAACCCTTTCTTGGCCAGTCCAGAAGACTTTCAGGGCAAAGACAAGAAAAGCTTTAAGAACATATCTAGGCAAACTTTCAGTACTAGTCCAGGTGACTACTAGGGCAAGTCCGGCGAACATCCAGGACACGAAGAGCTTTCCAGGATTAGTCCGGAAGGTTACCGAGATAAGACTGGAATATCTGCAGGGACAAAACCGGGACAACTTCTCCTACTCCTTCCAGTACAAGTTGATAGAACTACCAGAAAAAGTCTAAAGGACTTCCAAAAACGTCCAATCCAAACGAGAGGATCCTGAAGTGGACAAGCTTAGAAAATAATCAGACCAGGCTCATTGGCATTCTAGGATAGGTCCAGACGACTTTGGCATGTGCAGAAGACTTCCCGGACAATAACAAGAAATGCTGTAAGGGCACATCTGGGTGAGTTCCAGACAAATCCAAAGATCTTCCAGTGCAAATTTTCAATACCTTCAGCCAGGACTAAGTTCGGAAATTCTACGATACATTTGGAAAACATGCAGGGACAACGCCAGAGGGTAGAGGAAAAATCTGAAGGTTTTCATGGGCAAGATAGGAAAATCAGGATAAGTCCGGATGATTTCCAGGAAAAGTTCAGAACAAAATTTTCATGATAATTCAGGATATCTTCCCAGATAAATCCAGAGGACTTCCAGGATTTGTCAGGAAAATTTCTAAGGTATAGTGAACATCTAAAAGATTTCCAGTAGTTCTAGAACCGAAGTATGACTGTAGGAATAGAGAATGGAAGAAAAGCAACCCTCGGAGTAGCTCAGTTGGAATTATTAATCAATGGGGTAAGTTTTCCAGCAACTTTTCATCTGGTGGAAGATTTAGTAGTTCTAGGTATCATTGGAATAGAGTTCTTGAAACAGTACGTAGCACAGATTGATAAAGGCTTCAGAACTGTAACCTTCCATACACATAAATTTCAATCAAATGAAGATTATACATCGGAAATTGACAAAAAGTATGTTCACACAATCAACAAAATACAACAACGAATCAGTTCCAATGACAAGCTCATAGAATTATATAATAAAACTGAATGTGAAAACGTAATTTCAGGGCAATCTGAAAACGATTGGTTTACAGAAAAAAAAAAAAGAATTGTATGCTGAATTTGGATGACAATATCGATTGCGATGTTATAGAATACAAACAATACGAAAATTTGAAAGGTTACAAACGACAGGACAAGCTATTAGAACTGGTGAAACTTGATCACTTAAAACTAGAAAAATTCAATAATATCAAGGACATATTATATGATTTTAGTGACGTATTTTTTTGTGGAAGGAGATAACTTAACCTACACAAATGCCGCGGTACATGAAATTGAAACGTCAACGAATGTGCCGATTTATAAACGTCAATATAGATTTCCGGAAGCAACCAAACGACATATTAATGAGCAAATTGATGAAATGCTCAATCAAGGAATTATCAAACAAAGCCAAAGTCCTTGGAATGCTCCAGTACTATGTGTGCCGAAAAAGCCAGGTGCTGATGGAAAAATGAAATACCGAATAGTGGTCGATTTTAGATCACTTAACATGATCACAAAGCCTTTTGTTTACCCGATCCCATTGATCACTGAATTACTGGATAGCCTGGGTGATAGCAAATATTTTTCAACCCTAGATCAGGGTCTTATCAAGTACCGATACAACCGAGAGATGCGGCCAAAACAGCATTCTCATCTCCCAAAAGGCACTTCGAATTTACACGAATGCCAATGGGATTAAAGAATAGTCCGTCGACGTTTCAGAAACTTATGAACACAGAAGCTTCGAGGAAGACCATTGGAACTCTTTCTTCGATCCTTACGCTTCTCGCTTGTTTCCGGGACCGAATGAATGAAGTAAGAGTTGGGGTGTCCAGGATAACAGTGAGAAAAACAGAACAAACGCAGTGTGAAGTTCCTATCAACCTGTTTGGACTTGAATCGTATCATCAAGTAACCCTATCTGGCGCCAATCTAGCTCCGTCAAAACAGTCATCTATGAAAGGAGCACTAGGTCCGATGACAGTTGCCGTGAATCTCGCCATGACTGAAAATGATACCTACAAGGCTACCTGGAAAAAGTGTTTTGCCAAGTATTCAAACTAATCCCGCATGTAAATGATATTGCGGACATTCTCGCTGGTTCGAAAGTTGGAGAACCCCAGCTAATGGAACATTTGGCAGACTTGTGTTTGTTTGGAGTGACTCGCAGTTCACACAAGGCTCATTTCCCCATGGCACTCATCTTGCAAATCTGTTATCTCCAAAGTGCCGTTTACAAAACATTTTGGGATGCGTTTGCAATTGCAAATGAAGAATACGCTCGTAGTGATGTGGAGGAATATGCTCCAGGAGTCGTAAAAAACATTGACTTCTCTGGACATAGTGCCCTGGGTATATGGAACACTTCCGCTTGCTGTACCCTAAGAATCAAGGGATCTGGTATTATGACTCAGCGCATGGCTAGCGAACTCGTTTTCCATGCAGCATGGGGAACGCATGTTGAAGATCTCGGCTATTTCCAATGGCTCACCGGTCACCAATTCCACGACAGAAAGGAAATTGGTGACGCAATGAAGAAGAGAACGAAGACAAGACACTTATTCAAATGGAGGAAATAACAACCAATATCGCGTTACATAACCCTGCACACAGTATTGACCAGAAAGAATCAGATATATCACATACTACGGACAAAGAGAGTAAGAGTTTGGCAGCTCCAAACGCACAGTTTGTAGATATTATTCACGAAAAGAAAAAATCAAGAAAAAAGATGCATAGAACAAGGAAAATTCTACAAGGTGGAGTATATTAAAAATCATTCTACTTGAAGAGCAACTGAATGAAGATCATTTTCGATGAATAAAGGACGTTGAAATGCATAACCACTTTGAATGGACATCCCATCAAATCTCAGCATAAGGCGGGCCTTAACATTGATAACGGTCTAGTTAAAAAAAAAAAACGATAAAATATTCAATGACAAGGTGCTAAAATAAAAAGCATGGGTAATGAAAAAAAATAAATCTAAAGGTAAAAATGAATGAAATATTAATGGACTCTTTCAAACAGGTCATAGATAGTTGAAAATACCTAACATTGTAAATCATTCGAGTAGACAATAGGCAATGAAAATGAAGCAGAATAGAAGATAAACTACTTTATGGAGAAAATTTATATTATAAAACATATTTTACTCAAAATAATGTCAGCCAAGAAAAATCGAATCAGTGAAAATTAATAATAATTATAATGTAAGCTAAGTTAGGAAAATCCTGTTAGTTGGATTAGCCAATAGCAGCAGTTGGCGCGCAATCCAGGTGCATCACGCCATGGATTGCGCCAATAGGAAGCCGGTAGGGTAGAACAGCCTAGTAAGCACTTTAAGTGCATAAATAGGTAGTGAGCAGGTGGTTCGCTCTCTTTCATCACCGAACAGTTGTGTACTCGGTTTAGTTTCTAAGTGAATAAAGTGTGTTAAGTGAAGTTTAAGCTTTTTAAAAACCTAAAACGTAACGAACGATCCTTAACTCTAGGTCAACATATCCAAATCCAAGATCCAGCATCATAGCACTCATTCATAAGTTTCTTTCTCTTGAAATTAATCACGAGCTTAGTAAGCGAGAGGGGATGAAGCGCCCCTAAGTAAATCCAATCGCTCCACCGCGAAACTAAAAACAAAAAAAAACAACAAAACACCATATATTGATGGGCTCGATATCTAGGGTCCAGGTGTTGAGTCGCCTTCCAGGCGTTAGTGATTGAAAAAAAAAAGTCCTTCCGGGTTCTATCAAAGGATCTACACGAACAGTCCACTGTCAAGACACGCCAAGACAAGCCCGAAGAGCTTCCAACCCATTGGTTTTCCAAAGAACAACTCCCGAAGCAGTGGCGTCGCGTAACCTCACTTTTCACCTGTTCTCCCTCTTTAAAAACGTAAACAAATGAAAACAAATATTGCCTAAATAGATAAAACTAAGTGAAACTAGAAAATTCGGTGCAATTGGAACCGATTTGGGTACGTGAGGTTACGCGACGGCCCTGTCCCGAAGACAGTTTCAGAGCAAGTCCGAAAAAAAGAACAAAATGGGATGACCTCTAAACATTTGGATTTGCAGAATTTGTTTTGGCCTTTGAGGGGAATTTGAGAGGCTTCTACGGATGATCTTTTTTTTTTCGAAAGTTTAGAGTTCTAGGATTTGTGCGGAAATTCAATGTCCTCCATTTAGCATTTGTTTTTCCAATCAAAAATAACTAAAGTTCTACGAGGGACATAAAAACAAACGATTTCCATGCAAATCGCAACTACGTTTTAAGAATTGAAGAAGCACTTGCTGATCTTCCAACGGCACAAACACATTCATACGTACACAATGCCGCAATGTTAGACTGCGAAGGAACAGTCACTCGTTTTCATCGAAGACCGTTTTTAAGTATGTAGCTTAAGTAACTTCATCGACCAGCTCCCATCACTCCGGGTTGGCATTTTCTAATGGAAGGGCAAAGTAATGTTATGTTTTAGACAAAAAAAAAGTGGACGCAAAAAGTTAAAAGTCGATCAAAAACCAATCGACGACGATGCCATGATTTCTCTGCTTGTGTCTGTACCTATGTATAAGAACACCTTCTCTGCTCAACACAAAACTAAAAAATTGTGCTACTGTGTTCGTTTTGTTTTCCCTTTAACAATTGCTTAGATTTTCACTTATTTGCCTACTACTGTTTGCTAGATGCTATATGTTACAACTAATAAAACAAAACAGAAGACTTTAGTTTCCCTACCACATTTAAAACACTAAAATTCTGTCAGACTTTTAATCCGTTTTCTCAACTTGCGCGCTCTATAATAAGCAGTCAACGTTCTGCTCGTTTGCTCATTCCTAGGAAAGGTAAGACCCTTAAAGAAAATAGTTGAGTGTGTTTGCTTTTCTCTTTGCAGTTCAACAGACACTGATACTCCAAATTTAACTTTAGTTGAGTTTTTCAGTTGAATTGAGGAAAGGTAATATATTATTGCAAACCTCTTACTCGTCTTACTTCCTTCTTCCTTCTAGTGTCCAATAAATTCTTTGTCACCATATTTGTTTGCTACGTCACAACATCAAACTTTAGTTTTTTTTTTTCTCTAGTCAGGAAATTTACGAAAACAGCCATTAACATACTAGTTTCAAACTGAAAGAAAAACTCAACAAAGAACAAAGACCCATCAAAAATCAGACAATCTAGATCGATCATACACACATACATACGCCTACAAACACACACCCACGGGACGGGGTTAGCTTACCCGCGTTACGAGTCCACGTTCTAAAATCACATTTCATCTTTGCAACATCGCTGCTCATACCGATTCTCCGAACAGCAGCAGAAGCAGCCGCAGCATCCTTCCACCTTTGTCAGACGCTTTTCCGCCTCTCGCCACCACTCCAGCGCAACAGCGACGACAACGCCCGGCACTCACCTTTTTCATTGGGTCTTCTTAGACTTGCTAAACTTCTTTCCGAAAGGGAAGTGCAACTTCCGCCGGCGTCGCTTAACGTCCTCATCGAAGGTGGACGAATCGGTCGAGTAGGTGTCCAGCTCGGGCTGGACAGCTGTGCCGATGCCGATCGGGGACGGACTACTGCTACTGCCGCCGCCGCCACCCGCGGTGTTGACAGTGGATGGGAAGATGGCACAGCTGGAAGTGACACTACCGTCCCGCGATGCCGCCGTTTGTTGTAGTAGCTGTCGAGATCCGTTGACGCCGCTATCAGTGAACTGCTGGAGCTGTACCGCAGAGGCGGAAGTTCCCAGTCCTGGACCCGTTGGCGACGACGGCGATAGGCCCGCAGATGCCGCTGGAAGAGATAACGTTGGGGATTCCAGGGGCGCCAGGTCCGAGCTTGCGGCGGAGTGCGCCATCGAAAAGAGGCTGTGGGGTTGTACAAGAGAAGGATTAGTGTCTACGATTTGCATGTGGTGTATTAACAAAGCATAGGAAACGGTTAACGCAAGAAAATAAGGGGGTTTTTTAACTAAATACAATCGGTGTGCTTGTGCGCGTTTAACCGTTAATGGGATCTCCGAGAATGCCTCTGAGCAGATCCAAGACGGAAGCATAGTCATCGTAGTGTTACGTAGCCTCTCAACAAGCAAACGGGATTTGTTAACTATAGCTTGTTTGGATTTATGAATTCATTCACTCACTGCGGAGGCTCGACCGGGCGAACCAGCTTCACCTCCACAGTTACTTAATTGTCAGAGAGGGTGATATAGTGTTCTCTACCACGATGTTCGAAGAGGACCTATTGCAATGATTGAAAAGCCGAGAGAACAGCGAGCTAACGCAAGCAGCAAGTAAAGTTTCATCGAAGAGCTCAGGGCCGGGAAAAGTAAGGTGAGGGTCGAGCCTAACAACGGTCTTCATTTGCATGCATACCAGGACTGCTGTTTCGATGTCGGTTAATGTTGGTTAGGGTGCTAATGAATCAAATTTGGAAGCCGGCCATAAACGTCAATCTATCCAGCGGGACAAACTTAACGAATTTCAAAGTTGATACGTGTTTTGGAATGTAACAATAGCGTACCATAGCGTAGCTTCCCGTGCCGCTGGATAGACATACGATTTCAGCAATACCCAAGTCGATCCACCAGATTTCTACGGAAATGTGACGTACCAAATGCGTACTTTAAGAATCTGTAATTCATTTTTAACGTACTTCTTATTTTCACTTAAATGCTTATACTAAACTTTTTTAATCGGTTTATATATGAATTCTGGCTACGGAATTGGATTCCTTGGAAAATTTTAGCCCGATTTCATATAAAAAACATTATACTTAAGTACATTCTAGCCAATTTGAGCACCAAAAACAGTTTTTTTTTTTAATTTGCATCCCCTAAAAATATACTGATTTTGAACAAAACCGTTAATTTCATGAATAATTATGGAGACGCACGGTGCTGCTTGGAAAACTCCATCATGAGAAATGCACTGCAAATGCAATCCTCCGTTTGACGCAACTTTGACCAACTCTGACCTGCATGGGACCGAAATAATCCAACCCAACATAGGATAAGGGACGCACTGTGGCCGCAAGCCGAGCAGCTGGTAGTGGTGCCATCATTGGTGTTGGCACCGAAACTTCCGACGTTCATCACGAACACCTTGACGCGCTTATACGGATGCTCGCGGAAGAGGAATCTCTGACTGTATACATCTTGTCGCCGAATCTTGTACTGATGAAACATTTGCCTTAAATTTCCGTTGACCACTACCGGGCGCTCCCGAAAACCACAGAGTACTGCCGGAAGGGGAACCAGCATATCTGGACCTTTGAGCAACCTACCTTCGCCGCAGCATCCCAGACTAGCCTAATTTTCCCCGGTTTCTTTGGGTTTCTAACGGCTCCCAGTGGTAGATGCCAAACCTTGACAGGATCGGCCGACTTTATTTCCTCCGGTGTTAGTTCGTGAATATAATCGCTTTCTAAGTACTCTTTTATCTGCCGATGTACACTGCCTCGCAGCGCAGACTCCTTACTCATTCTTTGTTCGAAGCATTCCCAGCGGCGCATGGCCATCGGGAAACTAATTTGTAAATTCTACCCGGTCGTGTCGCCACATCAGTCCTGTCTCAAACCCCTTCGTAGTCCGTTTTGTGGTTTCATCCAAAGTCCGACGGGCTCGCTTGTCTTCTTCAGATTCTGGGCCTTTGTCTGCTAAAAACTCCTACGCTTTCGATCGCGAAGTGTCGCTCGACGAGATCGTGTAACTCTCGATCGGTTGTCTCCTCTTGACCCTCGTAGACATGGAAGGTGAAATTCTCCGTCCTGTTATCCTGCATATCCGTAAATCGACCAACCCAGTCGCGTTTTAGCGGTCAAAAGATCGCCTAGTTGACCCTCCCGCAGCTTCAGCATCGCGTTTGATTGCGAAGAGGAGCGTCATTTAAGCCGATCAACATGCCGGGTGATACCGCATCGTAGCTGGTGATAGGTAAGTTCCGTTCTGCTTCGGAAGGTTCAGACTGACGACCGTTCTCGTATCGTTCGCTTTTACTAGAACCTGAAACAGCTAGACAAACACGCTGAGAGTTCGGCTCCTGCCTAGTCACATTGCTGGTCCAGGCCAGGCACAGAGGAACAGGCTCGCCATCATTAATTCCCAAACGCTCTACGACGGTCTGCTCGACCAAAGTCATCGATGATCCGTCGTCAAGGAACGCAAATGTTTGTACTGATTTTTCGTTCCAGAATAGCTTTACTGGCAGGATCCGAAAGAACGTCGACTCCTCGGTAGCATGATGTGCGTGTGCGTTCTCTATAAGGAGGTCCGAATTCAAAATCCAACACCCACTGTGGTGGAACAGGCCCCTCAGACAGCCATATCGACACCTATTGAACTGTATAGTAAGCTAGATGTTCAAGAAGGCACTGATAATGACAATGTAAGCTTAATTTTCATATCCAAGATTGAAGCTGCGGAACTAATATTAAAAACGTACTTAACCGTATGAGTTTGTATGCCTAACGTCCATTATGTCTACCGCATATTATCCTTAACGTCAAATTCTAAACGGTAATTCAAAACAAGCCAATTGATTGGAAATTTTTCTACGAATCTGCTAAAACAAACACTTTATCAATTAGTAATAGGTCACTTATTGCCTGCAAAAAGAGCTTTCACTAACACAGATTTCAAAATTGAATTCCATGTGTGGTGGTGTCCGGTCGGTCGTCATTAGCAGCAGCAGTGCTATCAGCACGTGGCGTTGACCATTGTTCTCCAGTACACAACGAAAGGATTCCCGCAAGCAGCGAGCTGCAGCCCACATGGCCGTCCATTCACCGAAGAAGGAGGAAGCCGCACCGCTGCTGATCGGATTCAGTAGCTCTTCGTGAGTCGCTGTGGGTAATCTATGCCAAGCGCGTCACCCTCGTTCCAAACAACATACAGCTCGCCAGCCTCATCCGTGTTGAACACCCTAATAGCTCAGCATTACTCAACCATCACGACAAAACGGTTCTTTTCAGGACCACCATAAATTTGTTAAAAAGTATTTTCTGGACATTTGCCAAGGTCATCAATCGGATGTCAGTTCCCACAAGTTTAAATCTAACATACCATGTATTTATTAGGCAACATTGGGGGTGCAATTTCAAAAACGGTCGTGGCATGAAAGTGGTCTGATTATGATCCAGAGATGATGGATTTCAATTCTTAATACGCCAATCGATAGGAAATTTATCTACGAATCTGTAAAAAAAATAAGACTTGCAAATAGCACGAATGAGCAACTGTTAATATGATAATTAAAATTATCACCGATTGCCTGCGAAAAGCTCCCCGTAAGCAGCGAGCTTCAAGAGTCCTCGCTTCACCGAAGAAAGAGGAAGAAGCCGCACCGCTACTGATCGGATTCAGTTGCTCGTCGTGAGCCACTGTTGACCATCTATGTTAAGCACGTCACCCTCGTGCCAAACAACATACAGCTCGCCAGCCTCATCCGTGTTGAACACCCTAATAGCTCAGCATTACTCAACCATCACGACAGAATGGTTCCTTTCAGGACCACCATCAATTATTGTTGTTCAAGAGTTAATTTTCATCGAACGTTCGCTCGTCTTGCCAGCCACATCAACCCCCAAAGCTCTTTGATAATGTACCCAGCAGCCATGGTCAAATGCGTGATAGTTTTTAAGTGCTACATTCAAATTCTCGCAATGACCGAATACAACATGACCTTGTAAATGAAACAGAAGCACTTGGAATTGAGGTAAGGTTTTCTCCAAGACGCTAGAAAATCTCGCGACTGGAATATTTTAGCCAGAAATTCCTCCAATAAATCTTCAATTTATTATCAATAGAATAAACCGAAAATTCCGTGCGTTTTGTGGACGAAAATGCGTAATATTGTAATCAGAAAACGAGGCGTTTCCGTGATGGGAAAAAGGCTTTCCCTAACACAGTCGCCGAATATTGATACCGAGCACGTAATCCTACGTCAAATCTACGGTCGTGTCTTGGATACAACCTCTTACTTTTTTAACCGCTTTACTACCAGTTATCAGAGAGCCAAAAACATAACATTCCGGGGGTTGGAATGGATGGAACCCAGGCCTGATGGGGTGAGAGGTAATCACACTTACCACTACACCACCGGCGCCGCTGTGCACTGTCCTCTGTGAACAATTAACGGAAAACAGATTATGCGTAGTTTGCGATACATGTTTCCGCCAACAACAGCCGTGGCATCTAATGGAAAATGAATGCAGAAGCTTGACAAGATGGTTCCGTTAAGGCCCAAACGCAATGTGGACGGAAGCGGAACGGAAACGGAAAGTTTGACAGTTGTCACAAATGACATCAAGATGGCTAACCGAATTCGATTTGGTTTCAACAAGTTTTCAATCCGACAAGTTGGCTTACTCAGATCGGGCTTTTCCGCTGCCGTTGCCGTTCCACTTCCGCTGTCATTGCGCTTGGGCCTTTAGTGTCCCTTGGCACCAAGGGGTGAGACAGGTTTACTCTTAGTTGCTTTTTTGCAGCGAGTAACTCGCAAGTAACTCAATGTACCTCAATATTTAATCGACGTTCATCGATTTTTTTTTTCTGCTTAGAGCAAGCGCACCAATGCGTTGCTAAAGCTCGTTTAGTAGCCTCCGCACCGGGGGTTACTATTCAGGTGTCGAAAATAGCAAACCAAACCTCGGGAAGTAGCGAGTTCATAAATCTAGCATGTTTTGGGTTTTGTCCGCCTTGATTTTGTTTACGTGATTTTCGGCGCAAGCGGTGATTTTGAACGTGTTAATATTACGTTTTTTTTTTAAACAATGAGTGCTTCAAAACGCGGATCAAATTGAACCCCGCAGGAGGATGAAGCATTGGTGTTTTGCCGCAGTAAACGTTGGAGAAGAGCGGAGACCTATC